TGGTTTTGGGTTATGATGTTCTGTTCTCCTTACGTTCTCTTCCCTTCTAGATGTTTTGTTTATTCTCGCACTAATATGATGTTTTGATTTTTGCTTTAATTTTTTCCTTTCAATTTCTTTCTTCTTTGATGATTTAGGGTTTCAATATTTAGAGTTAATCTCCTTTATTATATGTATTTATTTATTAAAATCTTTTTTATACTAATTTTCTTTGGTTAATTTTTGCAAATGTTGATTGTAATTTAGAGTTTTTTTATCTGAGTTTTCTTTGCGTTTTTTTCTTGCAGGGGCATTTCAGAAATGTTTTGTCTTTCAATTTTTTAAATATATTCAACATAGAAATCTGCAGAGCTCATATTCAGCGTAGAAATGTGCTGATTTCATAGGTTTTTTTTTTTTTATCATAATCGGTTTGTTCTTAAACCCTTAGCCCTCTTTTTCAGTGTTTTATTTGATTTTCGTCAAAATTAGGACCTTTTGTTTGTTCTTGCTTCTCTACTGCTTCATTGTTCATTGCTGATTAGTTTTTGTTCTTCGTTTTGGGTTGTTGGATAGTTCATTCTTTGGCTTTCTTTGGGACTTTGCTGTGGCGTTTTTTTCTTGAATCCTTAGCTCTTTTTTTCGGTGATTTATTTTATTTTCCTCAAAATTAGGGCCATTTGTTTGTTCTTGCTTCTCTATTGCTTGGTTCTTCATTGGTGATTAGTTTTTTACGGTTTTGATGGAACTTTTTTCTATCCAATCTGGTTTTCATGCAGGGTTTTGCACTGTTCTTAGCTCATTCTTTATTGGGTTGATTCGCGATCCTGGTTTGGTTTTCTTTGTCCTCTTACTGAAGTGCATGCTTTATGTTCTTTTTCTTTTTTTGCTTATAGTATTTTTTTCCTATGTTTCTCATAACTATCTTTTGTGGTTCCCGCTCGAACTAAATTTCTTTGCATGTTTACTGGTATTTTCATTTGGTGGTTGCTTTCTTTAACTTTTACCGACAAAATATAGATATTTTTCTTTATTCCCTCCTTCATTCCATGCAGTGTATCGATCATTCTGCACATCTCCTTTTGCATTTATTAATTTGCTCATCTGTATTGTTTAAGATAGTGCTTTGTCTGCTTAACTTAATGACCTGTCCTCATTTTGTTGCTGAGGTATTAAATGGATTGATAATTTTTTGCTCTATTGTCTCAGATACATTAAATATGTGGTAGAAAAAAAATTGTTCTGTCATTTTTTCCCCTGCTTTTTTTGTTGTTGCTTTTTTCTTCTTCTCAGGTGATTACCATTTAATCTTTATTTTCTTCTTTTATTTTCTTCAACGCCTTAATGGACTGCTCTTATCATTTGATTAACCAATATTATTTTATATCTCCTGGAAACTGCTGCTCTATTCTTACGTGTGAGGCTTTTATAGGATATGTACTTTTGCTAATTGTTTTCCTCCTTTTCATTTATAAAAACCGGTTCTATGTATGACTCTATTTTGCAATTTCCCCTGCGCTTTACTCTTTGTCTTCTTCACTCCACCCTCGGTCATTTACTGCTCTACTTCATTATCCATCCTTTACTGTTTTATCCTGTTATTTCTACATCCTTGCTTTTTCTTTCTTCGCATTTACTTGGCTGACACTTCATACCCGAAGAAGTATTTATAGCGTACCAGGTATTATTAATGATTCTTGCCCACAAATCTTTAATATGTGTTTCTGATGTTGAATATATTCATTTCCTGTAGTTCTATTAATGCGTTTGTTGTTTTACTTTTATAATTTTTGTTTGCAGGTATTTTATTATTTTATTAGTAGATGTTAGTATTATCTTTTTATTTATTTACAAAAACTACTGTTGCATATGAATATATTATGTATATCTTTGTTTGTTTTGTTTGCACTTTATTGTCTTATGTATTCTAGCCTTAATTATTTAATGCTTTACTTTATTATCAATCATTTATTGCTTTCTTTTGATATTTTGGTATTGTTTCTTTTCCTTTGTTTGTATTTAGTTGATCCAGATTTCGCATTCAAAGGAATATTTATAGCGTTTGAGGTACTATTCATAACTGTTATCCATAATTCCTTAATATCTCTTCCTTATATTGGATATATTGGCTCTCTTTAGCGATATTCATATGTGATATATGTGTTTTACAACTTTTGTTCATAAATTTTTTTCCATTTCCTTCTTTCTTTCCTGTCTTTTATTCATTACTAAATTTTACTGGCATTCATTATTGGTTTGGCTTTCTCTTTGATGACATCTATATACGTATCTCCACTTCATATATATTGTTTCTAACTGCTTTCTTAATGAAAGAATAATGGTTATAGTGACTTTTAGGATGTTTTTAAATTTGTTTTCCTTTTTTCCATTCTTATTTTGTCCAAGTTTTTAACTAAAAAAGATTAACCACACTATTTTGTTCTTTTGTTGGCTGTTCTGATCTTCTCTTTTTCATAAGATACTCATTCCATTCAAAACTTATCTGGATAAACATTACTTCCCTATTTTCATTACTACATTACTTTCCTATTTCTATTACTACATTTAGTCTCTTTTTTCCTTTTCTTTTTCGGTTCACATCTTTTGGTCCCATTTTCTTTTTATTGTGGCAATGATGATTCTAATTCATTTTGGCATATTAAGTTTTATATGATTTGTCTAAGAATTTCTGTGAATGTATCATTCTGATTTGAATTTTGATTTTCTTTATGCTTCTTTACTAAAATCTTTATTCTGTCATCTTTTATCTCTTATTTACTAAAACTATCTTTTTGTTTATGTTACTGAATTTTTCTTTCATTGCCATTTTCACTTAATATTTTTGATTCTTGCACTTTTTTCTGTTTGTTTTAAAGCCTTACTTTGAATTATCCTCCTACTTTTTTCTCTCTTTTTCTCTCTTATTTTACAAAAAAATTTAGGACCTTTTTCATGCTCTATCATTTTGCTGGAAATTTTTCTCCTCTATCTTTCATTGCTTCCATTACTGTCAGTTTGGACTTCTTTGTTCGTTTTGATCAAAATAAAATCGCAGAATTGATTGATTATTTGATATCTCTCATGATTGTAGCTTTTTTTTGCTGTTTCAAAGCCTCATTTTCAATTATCCAACTTCTTTTTTCTCTCATTCTATCCCTTATTTTACAATAAATTTTTGCATGTTTTTTCTACTCTACACTTTTCCCTTAGATTTCTCTCCTTCATATTTCATTGCTTCCATTGCTATGAGTTTA